TATATTTGTGTGTGCGTATGTTAACGTCTGTACGTAAAACCAACCATAACTCAGATTAATTAGAAAAAAACCATTGAGTGGGTAATCAAAGGTTGTTGACTTAAGGAAAAAGCATGTTTGAAATAGCGGTAGTTAGTAGGTAACTCTGGCTGAATTGATGAGATGTTAGTGTATACGCGTGAAAATCAGTTTACGATACCACATTGCTGAACCCGATAATATAGCACTCTTTAAAGTATAATTATCCAAGGAAAAGCAGGGCTGGGATCGTGCAATCTCGTATATCAGGTTGGGTTATTGAGCTTAACAGAGCTGTTGAATGGATGTGGATCGGGTCAGGAACACCATCGAGCTGACCAGATTGGTCTCATTATTTTTGTCGGTGTCTCAACACCCTCTCTCCTTTAGTCTATAAATAAAACATAAGTGGTTCTTACTCAACTTCCCACATACATTTATTTATCTTTTAGTTTCAACTTGCGTTAGTAACTTGCTTTTACTAGAAGACATGGTAGTATCAACAAAGAGATGCGTTTGAAACTATTCTATCTCGTGTCTGGTTTATGTGATATGATCAGCCACTTCTGACCGATGAACTCAGCTGACATTACATCCACTTTCGTCCAATAAACCAACATGTTTCACCCATTTTTCGTACATGCCTCATATTCCTTTACAATTTCAACCAAAATTTTTGTAACTATGCTTAGAAAAGAGATTTAGAATAGGGCCAGCAAATTCCAGTTTCCAATATAAGTCTTTATAAGAATTGCCATCTTCCCCTATAACCAAAACACTCATAAAAGGTAAGCTACCCCCTGTCATAACTCAGCTGTCTAGAGTCATCAAGACTTAATGCTCCAAAGAAAAGAGGGCACAGGATTGCGTAATTATTTAAGCCCAGTTGAGGTTAAGAGCTTAACATAACTGTTGAATGAATGTATACCATCAATCTTGACTTTTATACTTTTGTAATTCCACTTTGAACTTAATACTAGCTTAAAACTTTGCTTGATGTGTTTCTAATTGATCAAATAGTCATCGATATTCATATTAAATAGGTTTTCTAAATAATCAGCTAGTCTTGAATAAGTGTTCCACTCACCCTAGACCGCATAATGGAATTTTCTTACATTACTCGTATCATTCAAGGAAGATTCAGCTATCATTACTTCATTACTTTTAGTCATCTGCATGTCTAGCAAATTTTGTAACAATACTACCCCTCTTATTAAGCTTTCCCCGAATTTCGCCATGTAATTATTATCAAAAATGGGAGCTAAACAAGATACTTCAGAAGTCTCCTAAATCGAAGACATGCAATTTAGATACTCAGCGTAGCGAACCAACCTCGTTCAGGCTTCTACGCAGGACAGACTCTGGACCAGAAGCAAGAGTCTAGAGAGGATGAACCGTTCAGGATTCGGCCAATGACTGGTTGCCTCGGTGAGCTGATGTTGGAGTGTAGTTGTGCACATTGTGACTAACTATCGGAGCCATCAGGGTACTTTTAGTGGGTTCGAGGTCACACCAGTCGGAGTGGAGCCAGTGATTTGCTAAACCACGTTGCCTCCCTTTGCAGATTAACTCAGCTGGTGTCTTGCCTTCTACCGCTTTAGGTGCTGACAGACAAGTCAGAGGCATTACGCGATCTCCGCGCCTCCAGACTCTCGCGCTACCAAGGCCTGCTCATTCGCGTCGTCAAGCTGGGCGATCTCTTGGGCGAGTCCAAAGAGGCAGTGGAGGCCCGGCTTGGCCACTTGAGGCGCTTCGAGTCCTCGAGTCCTGAACTTCCCGACCAAAGTGAGTTTGCACTGACGGCCCAATGCGGAAGGCGGAAACTGGGTCTGACGACCTCTTTTTCACAATCCAAATAATGCATCGGGCCACTACCTCAGGCCTGAGTTCGCCTTCGACCGAGTGGCCCACTCGTGTTGTTGGGGCTCGAGTCCCACTCGTCTCGGCCATGCTACAGTGGCTTGATGAGGTCTTGGTACAAGTCTGGCTGAAGGTAGTACAAGAGTCAGAGCATTGCCATCTTCTGCATTAATTGTTTGAAGGTGAATCGTGCAAAAAGCCTTGCTTTTGCTGTGCGGAACAGCCCAAAAGCGAGGGTTTGAAGCGCCTTTGAACCAACGAGACCGGACAGACGGCCTTGCTTTACTTTTATAATATAAATAGAGTCTCGAGGCTATCAGTATATCAGTAATATGATGTATTTACTCTATTTAGTTTTAGGTGATGAAGC